ATATGCCTCTTGAGGTAAGTCACAGAACCCAAGAACGACCTCAGTTCTCTTACGTTACCTTCCACTCTCATCAGGTCCGCCACCTTCTTCGGGTCCGGCTTGATGCCTTCTTCGCTTACAATGAACCCTAACAGCTTCGCTTCCCGCTTCACGTATTCACCCTTCTTCAGCTTAAGAAACAAACCTTCCTCGCAGCACCTCCCGAGCACCTCGTCCAGACGCTCAAACAACGTATCCAAATCATCAGCGTACACGACAATATCGTCAATGTACACGTTGACATTGTTCCCTATGAGACCTTCAAAGACGCGGTCCATCACCTGCTGAAACAGGATCGGCGAGTTCTTAACACCAAACGGAATCACAGTGTATTCGAATGTGCCCCTATGCGACACAAACGCAGTAAACTGTCGGCTTTCTGCCCCCAGGGGTACATTCCAAAAGCCATGATTTCAGTCTAGCCATGCTCAACATGTCGTCTATCTGCTTATCTAGTTCCTCTCGTAACTCTGGTCTTAACGGCTTCAACGTATGCTTCACCGGCTTCCCGTCTACTTCGAACTCCACACTACGCCGTGTTCTGCCTGTCCTCGGCCGCAACCAATAATTCGAATGTTTTTGTAACAAACCCCAAAGCCTCTCTCTAACAACATCTTCCACATGGGACGTCATATCCGTTATCAGCTGCTTCGCAACCGCCAACAAGTCTTGGTCCGACTTCTCCTCCTCCACCAGTGACACCGCATTGACCTTGTAACAGCTCTCCACATGGAACTGGCACTTACATGCATCGAAGATACCTAGTGCAATCATGTCTGGTACGCCCAATATCAGCTCATCGTCCTTCAGCTCCTCGCTGGAATACAGCACAGTCTCCATCCGACGGTCTTTTGTAGCCAACGACGCCTTGAACAATGTCACCTGTTTCCTGGTAAACAAGCCCCCAATGGCACCAGCGCCGGCCTCTTCTAAGCCTAACTGACGTGCGAGGTCCATACTCACGATAGACGTAGTTGCACCCGTATCTAAAAGTGCTTCTACCACTACCTCGTTCAACATTACTCCCTTAGTGACCCTCGCAGCTCCTAACGTGTCTGCAAACTTGGCGACCTCTCCGTCTTCCATCAGCGCGTCGGGTCGAGCACTCGTTTTCTTCTTATCTCGGCGCTCTTTCTCAACTGTGCGCTTTTTCTCTTCCAGCTGGTTGATCTTCGTTGCCGCCTCTAAGCACGCATCGTAGAGGGCCTTCCTAGAGTTCAACGTCGGCGTACTGATAACCAGCTGATTGCCTCTTTCGTACATCTCTACGCCCACACTACCGTACTTGCTGTCGAACACACGAACTCGACAGTTCTTTTCCTCATGACCTCGCTTGTGACAGTTGCTGCACTCCAGATCCTTCATCGGACACACGTTCGCCCTATGGCCCTTCTTATGACATCTGTAGCATTCAACTGACTCATCACCCTGGTGCTCGAAACTTCGATCCCATCCGCTCTTCCGTCGCACCTCCGAGGTCACTTTCTCACCAACGGCTACTGCAGGGTAAGCTCTCTCG